GGTTTTCGTTTCGGAGTTTTCTGAAAAAAGGCATGATTTTCGTTATAGTGACCATCACAACTCAACCATCAATTTATGCACAAACAACAGCAAATCTTATAAAATAAACTTATTTGCATGCATGAAGGAAGCTGCAGTTACAGGTGACACATCCAGGCATGAAAAAGTACTTGTGTACACAAAACACCGCAATAATGCAAGAAAAAAGCGAGGACATGCTGGACCATTTGGTAACCGTGCAACGTTGATTCTTTGCCCCTGAAATACAGCTTCACCTTGCAAAACATCCGAGCGGTGCTTTTTAGCTAGCAGTCAGCAAGGGACTGGTTTCCGCACCGCAGCATACATCTGTCCGGAATCAATACTGCTTTTAACGACGAAACTGCAAGAATGGCGCACACATTGGAAAGGCATGCACCAAGAAGCGTTAAGACACCCAAAAATGGTGCCTGCACGGTTGTCAGCAAGACAACGTTCAGCGCAATGTGGAGACACAATCCACCTAGGCTGCGGATAGACAACGTGTTGCTTCTTATGTGGTCAGGCCAGTTTCTTCATGTTTTGGTTCCGCAACACTTAACATCGTCGACGCCTGAAAGCTCACTTTGACTCACAACAATCGGAGCTCTACTGTCGAGCACGCTTGCAACGTCGACATCAAGAACAGGGAGAAACCGCGGGTGCTACAATACAGCACTAAAACTTGGATCATATACGCAGAACCGTAAGCCAGGCATAGCTTCTGCGCCGCATGGGTCCCAGATCATGACTCGTCAAGCATTGGCACATTAAACCTCTCAATCAATCAATCAATCAATCGATCAATCAATCAATCAAATGATCCACCGGGGAGGTCACGAATTGCAGTGTTCCCACAAGCGAATAGCAGTCGGCGGTTTAATGAAGCGTCGTACATATGTGCACTCCAGGCCTTCGGATTTCGGACTGCACAACAGAGAGTGCGGTCGCACATATCGTCTTCCACTCACGCACTGCTAGTCTACCGCGCGAGAAAGGCGCTATCGGGAATTCTCCGGAGCGGCGTCGCAACAGCGCGCACGGCGTGCCGTCTCAAATATCACCCAGGTGTGTGGCCTTGGGCAGTGGTATATATCACTTTTGCCGTGCATGTGAGAAGCTACATCCGGGAAAGATCTTCTTGCAGGCCATGACTTTGCGTAGTAATGATTGGTGCACAGAGAAGAAGAAGTCTCACCTCTTCTGCAAGTGTTCCGGGAAAGAAAACAGCGTTGGGATGGCGTCGCTTTTCAGACGCGTCCTTGAACCCGAGCGGTAAAAACACGCCTCGGTAAAGTGGCTGCTGCAAAGTCTGCTGCCTGGAGATGGCTTCCATTTGTCCCTTTTGAGGTTAACAACCCACTGCTGGTACAAGTGGGGCTGGGAACGCGGAAACCTGCAAGACAAATACCGGACAGCTTTAACACGCCGTTCAACGCATCGCAAATGCTCCGTGCTCATGCTCCGTGTAAGTCAGTTACGGGGAATTAAGAATGATTTAAGGGCACTTACGCATGAAACGTCTTTCCAGAAGACTTTTCTGGCCTGCTTGTGCAATTAACAGCACAGCAGGCAGGCATTCTTTTGAGAGAAGTCCAGAAAACACGCACGCCGCCAGCAGTCAGGCGGGAACAAGCACCTGCTTCCTGGACAAGGCCGCCGACTTCCGGTGGCTTCAAGCCGGCGCGCTCTAAGCGCCATCCAGCTCCCTAGTGGAGGTCAGTGCCCCCACCTCCCCATTCAGGCTCCTCCCTCTCGCCGGGAGAATTCCGGAATCTGCTGTGCGTTCATGACCATGTTTGGGCATTTTTTTGGGGCGTCGTGACCATATTTGGGCATCGTGTTAGGTTGTGCCCCTCCATGTGTTGTGAGGTGTATTTCCCCTCCCTCGTGGCCGAGGTGCCGGGGCCACCGTATTGGCTGACGATGCGGACAATGCGCCCAGTGTTGGCAACGCGGCGCTATAAAATGCCGAAGACGTTTTGTATCTCTCTCTCTCTTCTCTCTTTGGATCAGTTGATCACTTCTCAACATGTAAATAAATCTCTGTCGTTCGTTCGGGCGCTCCTTCTCGCTGAATTGTCGGACGATGGATCCTGCTACGGGGCCAGCTACCGAAAACGAGACCGGCAGGACCCGGAGTCCCAACAGTGCCTGTGCTCTACAGTGTTCCATCTGTGTAAATGTAAAAATGTTACTTATCAATCAATTTATTTAGATGACTCTCAAATTATGACAGGTAGATTGCCACTATCCCTCAAGAGGAAGGTATATAACAGCTGTATCTTGCCGGTACTTAGCTACGGAGCAGAAACCTAGAGACTTACAAAGAGGGTTCAGCTTAAATTGAGGACGACGCAGCGAGCAATGGAAAGAAAAATGGTTGGTGTAACTTTGAGAGACAAGAAGAGAGCAGAGTGGATTAGCGAACAAACGGGGGTTAAGGATATCATAGTTGAAATCAAGAAGAGGAAATGGACATGGGCCGGGCATGTAGCGCGTAGGCAGGACAACCGCTGGTCATTAAGGGTAACTAAATGGATTCCCAGAGAAGGCAAGCAGGTTAGGGGGAGACAGAAGGTTAGGTGGGCAGGTGAAATTAAGAAGTTTGCGGGTATAAATTGGCAGCAGCAAGCACAGGACCGGGTTTACTGGCGGAACATGGGAGATGCCTTTGTCCTGCACTGGACGTAATCATGCTGATGATGATGATGATGATAAGGAATTATGAAGGGTGAAAGCTTTAGCATAAATCATTATTCAAGCAGTAGCAAATACAAATTGCTTGCTGCCTGAAATTTGCCATTTTGATGCATCTCTAGGAGATATCTGGTTGGAAACGTCAGTGGCAAGTGGTCACAGCTTGGTGAAGAACTAAACCGTTACTTCCCAGACAGAAAGGTCAATGTATTGTGGCTACGTGGAACATGAATGGAATGGTAAATTTTAGCAGCTCCTTTTTCATGGTGTGTTAGGTGAACATGCATTTCTGTACAAAGTTTTGTCCCTTGTAACTAGGAGCTCATTAAGATATGCAACTTCTTGTATTGGGATCATTTTCATTTTTAACATATTTTGGGTGTTTAGATGATGTATCAACCTTGTTTAAGGCAGGTGCATAGATATACAGCTTTATTGATTCATGAGAGAATCTGGTGAGTGAAGGAGGGAGGGGGAAGAGGACACAGAATCTGAATTGCTGGGTTTTTTTTTTTTTTTTGTGCTTCAGCGAGCCCTTCTGGCCCATTCCACTATGCAGTGCTGTAGTCTGGTTGCAAGCTGCACAGAGCAGCCTCGTATCACTCCTGTTGTTCTGGCCCTTGCCATGCATGCCTGCGTTTGTCTGAATAATTTCGAAAAATGTGAACAAGGTCTGCTCTGGTGCATGCTATTGTAATCCCAAAACATGTTTAGCGTAGTGTCTTCTCTAACGTACTTATTATGTACTCTGCATTATTTATATGAGAATAAATTATTTGCTTTCATGTAGGTATAACGATAATGTTCTGTGAAATTTACGATGGAACTACTACAGAAATAATATGCTAAAGTTGTACATAAATAATGGCACATATTTTCTTGAGTTTTGAAATGATTAGCATATTGTTAGAGCTACGGGACTCTCAAAATTTTGCAGTTTTGGCACACGGCCGAAGCAATGAATGCCTTAGCAGCTCATCGTAATGTTATTGGTGTAAAGCTAGGATGTTTAGGAACCACACAAACTGTAGTGAACATGGTCGAATGTGTGTTAAGCTGCAGCGTTTCACACGCACAGCAGCACGTTCTTCCTGTGTTTGGGCATGTATACGAGCCCGCCTTGGTTCAGCGGGACTGGCATTCCATTAGAGCTGCATTCCATTGGAGCTGTTTCACAGGGGTTTTTACAACACACGATGGCATCAGAAAGGCCGATCTGCATACAGCATTTTGACGGGCGTTTGTCGGGCACTTCCTTCCATGGCTTCAGTTGATACCGGGGACAGTAGCAAAAAGTGCAGTTCCAATGCTCTTCAAAGCGTCCACTTCAGATTGTCCCAGACATCGCAGTGTTGGTGTCAACGTCGAAAGCAGCTTGATGAAGGAGGAAGCTCGCTTCCTTGCTTGCTTGTTCCTTGAAATGTGGCTTCCACCCACCACGGGGGATTGGCGATAAAATCGGTGGTTGATATAAAGAATTTTTTTTATTTTTCAAAGGGATGAGGTAGAAATCAATTGCCCCAAAAATAAACAAAATTTTAGAATAATCAACGTCCGGCTGCATGGCTGTTGACAGTAAGCCAGTGGTAAATGGTGTATATATGTAGCTCGCTGTTGGTGAGATGGATAGCATGAGCGGCACGGCCTTGTTGGTTAACGCAGCGGACTGAGGAGCGAGGAGTCGCTGGCTCGAATCCACAGTATGGTGCCTTGGAATTCTTTATTCCAAGGCACCAATAATATATATATATATATATATATATATATATATATATATATATATATATATATATATATACAAAGTTGAAATCAACGGGTCTCGTACTGGCATACTTGGTGTGTTTAGGTTGTATAAGAGGGACAAATAGTCAGCTGCCCGCTCTTAATAAGTTCACGTGCTACGTGACACCAAACATGCGAATAAGAGTGTTTTCACACTCGTTGTTTGGCTAATAGATGGCGCTGACTGTCACTCCTACTTCTAAATTCACATATAAACCCAAAAAAGTGGATGGAGGGGAGGCCGCTGTGATAGCTCAGTGGTTAGAGCATCGAGCGCGTTATTCGAAGGTCGTAGGTTCGGTTCCTCCTCACGGCTGGTTATTTTTTCATCCACTTTTCTTTCTTCTTTCTTCTTATTTACATTGCATTGGTTCTAATAACTTCCCCTGTACATTCCTTGGCATTACTGTCTGTTAGATCTCATTAATATTGCTCTTACAGACTGCCATTTCGTGGATGGTGCCTTCCGTACATCTCCTTCCGAATTGTGACTTGCCCGCTGCCCCTCTTCAGCTGCCGCCTGCTTCGGCAAACCGCACGCCAGTTCCGGTGGGAACAAACTACCCCATCTGGCAACCTGGAATCGCGGCACCAGGTGGTGGCACAGACGGCGCGGGACTCATAAGCCAGCCAGGAGCCGTCCACTTCGGGCACGACATCGCGCCAAGCATACCAAGCTTACGATGGTTGCTCTTACAGGTTAGTTACCTGAAAGGTGCCATTTGCTACAGAACTAGTAATTATGTCCTAGTTGCGGTGTCGTGCCCACCCGAATTCATAGATAAGATACAGCGTATGAAAGATGTTTCTTTTGTGAAGTGCCGCGCTTTCTGCTCTTTATTGTTACTTCTCGCCGGTGACGTGGAATCTAACCCGGGCCCTATGACGAAAACTGAAGCCGACACATTTTCTCAAGCTCTAGACGCCATACGGAAGCTTGAAGAAAGCCAGGATACCTTACTAGCCGAATTGAAAGCTCTGAAAGAGAAGCATATTGAAGCCACCAAGGAAATTCAGTTGCTTATGGCTAGAGTCGCGGCCCTGGAAAGCACTACCACGTCACAACATAACACAGGTGTAACCGAGGCAAGTGCCAATGCACTGCGTACAGTATCAAGCCAAGTGACAGAAATTTCGTCGCGGTGTAATAACTCTGAAAATAGATTACGGCGCTCTTACCTTCTTTTCTTTGGACTGGACGATGAACCTAAGGAATACTGGGCAAAATCTGAGCAGAAAATAATCGACTTCTGCTCAGAGAAATTAGGCATCACTGTGACGGAACGGCAATTTGAACGTGTGCACCGAATAGGCAAATATACAGAAGACAAGCGAAGACCTATAATAGCGAAATTAGCCTTCTTTTAAGGATAAAGAACAAATCCTGTCGTCTGCACACAAACTAAAAGGTTCCGCAATTTCCATACGAGAAGATTTTTCACTGGAAACTCGGCTGTCCCGAAAGAAGCTGATTGAATTCGCGAAAACGCAGAAAAGTGCGTATAAGCTCTCTGTGGACAAGCTACGCATCGCTTCAAAGACATACATTTATGACTCTGCGACGAACACAGTTATCGAATCTGTCAGATAGCTACAGCGTTGCACGCGCGTGCAGAATCAACGACCGAAACATGCTAATACCTCATTGTCGCTGTCAATCGCTAACACACGCAGCATTATGTCGAAGCAGGATTTGATATCTGCTTTTCTGGATGACAGCAAATCTGATATTATTGCATTCACGGAAACTTGGCTAAATCCTGCTATCAGTGACGACGAAATATTCACCTCAGCCAGCATTTATCAAATCTACAGGTGTGATCGCACTGGTAAAAGAGGAGGCGGTGTTCTGGTCGGCATAAGGAAAACCATTACTTCATTTTTTATCAACACTAATTCTGACCTCGAAATAGTTTGGGTAGCTTGTACAGTCCCTTCCTCCAAAATCCTCGTAGGTTGCTGCTATCGTGCGCCAGACTCGGACTCTTCCTTCATTAATATGCTACGTGACAGTATAAACAACGCTTCTGAAATTTTCCAAGCCGATATCATTTACTTACTAGGCGACTTCAACTTTCCGCTCATTGATTGGGCCACACTGTCATCGCCCTGTCACATGTCAACTGAATTTCTTAACTTAACTCTAGATTTCAACCTCTTTCAAACTGTTCTGAAACCTACACGTGGTAGGAACACCCTTGATCTTATCCTCACGACCGCTCCGGAAACAATACGTAATACAGATTACCTGGACGGATTCAGTGACCATAATTTACTTCAAGTAGATATAAACATACCCCTTCCCGTAGCCGGTGTAGATACAAAACAAATTCGGGACTATAATAAAGGCGATTATCAGGCAATTAACACAAAGCTAAGGTTATTTTCCGAAAACACTCTCCTGCCATGTTTCCACAATAGATCCGTAGAAGAGAACTGGCTACTTTTCAAGCAAGTTTTGTGTACGTTAGTTGACAAGCATGTTCCACTGGTTAAAATTAGCAATGGTAAATCAAATCCATGGTTCAATAAAAAGCTTCTGAGAATGCAGAATAAGAAAAAACGGCTTTACAATAATGCTAAGTGCTCGGGTAGTTCTTCTTCTTGGCTTAAATATAAAACCTGCATAAAAGCATATTGCACAGCTTTAAGTAAGGCTAAGGAAAAGTATTATTCTAACGATCTACCCACACAACTGAAAAACAACCCAGCTAAATTTTGGAAAGTCATAAACCCCTCCAGTGAAAACCAACACATCTCATTGCATGACTGCAACAACGTCCCTCTCACAGCTAGCCAGTGTCCAACAGCATTTAATTCCTTTTTCACTTCTGTCTTCACGAAAGAGAACAGTACCAACATACCCAACGTAGCTGAGTTCGATTACCAATTTATGGAACCAATAGATATTCAATTAGAAGGCATAATTACAGCCATAAATAATCTTAAGTTGTCGTCTTCATGCGGCGTGGATGGAATCAACTCAAAGGTGCTAAAGAATACGGTAACGGTCACAAGCAAAATACTACTTCATATATTCCGGCAGTCTCTCGAAACAGGCATGATACCGTCTGACTGGAAGTTGGCGAAAATAATTCCAATATTCAAAAGTGGAAATAAAACCTCATGCAAAAATTACCATCCTATTTCCCTTACATGTATTTGTTGTAAAATTCTAGAACACATCATCGCTTCACATATTTACAGGCATCTGGAATCCAATCATTTCTTTTTCAAAAATCAGCATGGTTTCAGAAAGGGCTTTTCGTGTGAGACTCAGTTGTTTGAATTTACCACAGAGCTTCATGCAAATATGGACAATAATTATCAAACTGATTGCGTATTCCTCGACTATTCGAAGGCGTTTGACAGGGTTGCACACTGTCGCCTGATATCGAAACTTTCCGCCCTGAAATTAGACTCCCGTACATTATCATGGCTTCGCAATTTCCTGTCGAATCGTCAGCAATACACAACAGTTAACAATTTGTCTTCTTCCCTATCTGACGTTTCTTCAGGTGTACCACAGGGCAGCGTACTCGCGCCATTACTTTTCCTCATATTCATCAATGATCTTCCGCAACATGTCTCTTCTTGCATCAGGGTGTTCGCTGACGACTGCATTATTTACCGTCCAATCAAGAACAGTGAAGATCACCTGTCACTCCAAAACGACCTCGACGTAATTAATGGTTGGTGTAGTACATGGCTGATGACACTAAATGTCTCAAAATGCAAAGTAATGTCGTTCACACGTAAACCTAGCATATCCGAATTCTCTTACAGTATTAATCATTCCATTCTATCGACTGCAACACAATATCGGTACTTGGGCGTAATACTGACACCTAATCTATCCTGGTCCAACCACATTACGGCAATCTCTGCCAGCGCCTCGAAATCACTAGGTTTCTTGAGACGTAACTTGAAAGCTGCACCATCAGGCATTCGCAAATTATCTTACTTGACACTGGTTCGCCCTCAACTAGAATATGCCTCTTCGATTTGGTCTCCCCATCAAAAATACTTAATTGACTCATTGGAAAGAATCCAGAATAGAGCAAGCCGCTTCATTGCCAATAACTACAGTCCGCATTCTAGTATATCACAAATCAAACAGGAACTTTCACTCCCACTCTTGAACATTCGTCGCGACATTGCCCTGCTGTCATTCTTTCATAGAATTACCCATTCTTCCCGAATCACCGTTACTGGTCTGCAAAAACCATATCTCACTTCACGTAGACTACACAATCATCTTAGCTATTCCCGTGTATACGGCTCAACAAACGCGTTCAATCAGTCCGCAATTCCACGTGTTATCCGTCTGTGGAACAGTTTGCCTGACGACATTGCATCCCAGACAAACTTTGACACATTCCGTCATATTTCATCAAGCCACTTCACAAGCCTCAGCAAGTAGATGCCGTATCATAATTCATTGGTCCGTATTGATTCATTTTTGTGATTGTCACATTCATGTGCGCGAGGATTCTGCCTTGTGGCCGCTGCATGCGCAGGAAATACAGTGTTTCGCCCACGGTTACTATGCGTGTATCTTTTGTACATGTTGAACTTTTGTACATGTTGGTGCTTTTTGTTTGACTTATTATTTTCCAATTGTTTCTTTTGTATTTGTTTTAGTTTGAGATGTATATAAGTATTGCGCCCCTTACTCAATTGATTCTTTTGTACTTTTTTTTATTTTGAGGTGTCTATATGTATTCCCCCCTTGCTCAATTGTCTGTCTTGTATATTTTTTCCAGTTTATTTGTATATATGTATAGCCCCCCTTACTCAATGCCCCCCATGGGGCCTGTAAGGTACTTTGAAATAAATAAATAAAATAAATAAATATTGTGTTAAAACACGGAAAACGAGCCCTTAGGTATACACTTCTTTCCCTTATTTCATTGAACGAGGGTCTCGTACTGGCAGACTTGGTGTGTTTAGGTTGTATAAGAGGGACAATTAATCAGCTGCCCGCTCTTAATAAGTTCACGTGCTACGTGACGCCAAACATGCGAAAAAAGAGTGTTTTCACATTCGTTGTTTGGCTAATAGATGGCGCTGACTGTCACTCCTACTTCTAAATTCACATATAAACCCAAAAAAGTAGATGGAGGGAAGGCCGCTGTGATAGCTCAGTGGTTAGAGCATCGAACGCGTTATTCAAAGGTCGTAGGTTCGATTCCTGCTAACGGCTGGTTATTTCTTCATCCACTTTTCTTCGTATTTACATTGCATTGGTTCTAATAACTTCCCCTGCACATTCCTTGGCATTACTGTCTGTTAGATCTCATTATTAGTGTTAAAACACGGAAAAACGAGCCCTTAGGTATACACTTCTTTCCCTTATTTCATTGAACGAGAGTCTCGTACTGGCAGACTTGGTGTGTTTAGGTTGTATAAGAGGGACAAATAATCAGCTGCCCGCTCTTAATAAGTTCACGTGCTACGTGACGCCAAACATGCGAATAAGAGTGTTTTCACACTCGTTGTTTGGCTAATAGATGGCGCTGACTGTCACTCCTACTTCTAAATTCACATATAAACCTAAAAAAGTGGATGAAGGTGGCCGCTGTGATAGCTCAGTGGTTAGAGCATCGAGCGCGTTATTCGAAGGTCGTAGGTTGGATTCCTGCTCACGGCTGGTTATTTTTCATCCACTTTTCTTTCTTCTTATTTACATTGCATTG